CCGATTGCACACGCTGAATTCGTGGAACTGTTTTGGGCAGGAGCTGCATGTATGGTCGGTAAAAGGGACCCTCCACACTTTTTCAGAACCCCTGAACTGATCTGGGTGAAATTTGGATATGTTTATCCCCCAGATCGGGGCTATCAGGAGATATGTAATTTGTGGGGATACCTTGTGGGGAAAGGGGTGTTCTAAGTTTTGGGGAAATTGTGTGCTCTCTGCCTGGAGATAATTGGTTTATTCCCTAACTTATCTCAATATCTCCCAGGCAGAGAGGAGACGTGTATTACTGTAAAACTGTGTGTTGATTGGTTATTGTCTTTGTTTGCTGTGGGAGGTCCTCTTGCAGGAGGATTTCTCATAAAAGCCCGTGTGTTGTCAATAAAATGTATTCCTGTTACACCCTTCATGAAGTCTAGGCTCATGTTTGGGGGATATTCTACTTGCTGTGAAGAATCACCTTGGAACTGCATTTCATCTATCTTATTCCTCTACTCCCTGCTGCAGCTATAATCACTCAAGCTCAGCTGTTGGGAGAGGGAACCAAAGACCGCAGCACCATAACCACTGCAGGTCTTAACACTATTGTGATGATCAGAAAAATCTCTCTGAAATCTGCATGATTTCCTATTGGTTATGACATTTTTAACCCTTAATTTTGTGACTTGTAGCTCTTTCATTACAGTGTCCGATTCAGGTTTTATTACAGATTTTATTACGGACAAGGTATCTCTTAGGCTTTGCAATTGTATTTGATCCAGCTAATTTTTTCTCTTTTTATACTCTCTAATAAAGTCCATTCATTTACAGATATTTGTAAAATGCTTTTTCACATATTGCAGCCTATTGTGGTCCCAGGGCATACGTGAAAATGAGAGAATTCTCAATGTATCCTTTCTGGTAAAATATATTATAAATATTAGTATAATATGCTACAGTTGTTTAATTTTTTTCACATTAATCTGCATTCAATACCCTAAAATGGCAAAGAACAAAGCAAAAGCACACACTATTGCCAATATATTAAACAAAAAACCAGAAACATCACATTTATATAGGTATTCAAACCCTTAGCTTGGTATCTAGTTGAAGAACTTTTGGCATCAATCACAGCTTCAACTCTATTATGATATGATGCAAAAAGCTTTGAACAACTGGATTTTGATAGTTTCTTCCATTTATCTCTGTTGATCATCTCACGCTCTGACGGGCTGGATGGGGACCTTCTGAATTGTGGTAAAAACTGGGCTATGGCTATGCAACTGAAGGACATTTACAGAGCTGAGGTCAAGTATGAGGTTTTCATTAAGAATATCTCTGTATTTTGCTACATTTAGCTTCCCCTCAACCCTGACTAGTTTCCCATTTGCTGCCACTTAAAAACACCCCCGAAGCATGATTGCACCATTCTGTCTTTGAACTTATTTATATGACACAAGCCACGACCTCCCCGCCCTTTTGTAGGTTTTTGGATAGGCATCCTAATATGAGCAATATGCATCTGCAGAAAAGATGTAAATTGACGGAAGAGTCTGCACCTATATGAACCCCTATAGTTTCAGCTCAGTGCCCTTTTGTCATTTAACAGCCGTTAAGCATGTCACCTGTATTAGTCTTGTTCCCTTGTACCACACCTATCTAGGTCCCTGAATCAATTTTGTCCTGTCCAATGTACCCAGATACATACCTCATCTTGACCAGTATTTCCATATTTCAGAACCAGTTTTGTCCCTGCCTCTGCTTTGTCCTAGTTCTGTAATTTGTTCTTAAAAACTATATATTAAATAATTTTCTAGTCCTTGTCTATATTTTGGATAGTTTAGTTCCAATACTTCCTATTCTGTGAAGCCTGGTTTCTCTAGGGTCTGCTAATATGCCTGTCTATTCTTTTCTACTGGACTTTTTAGTTAGGTTACTGACATATCTTCTCCCTCGCAAAGATTGTGAGTAAAACAGAAACTTGGAGGTTAGGTCAGAGTTCCCCCTACCAGTGGCTAAAATGTCTGCACTAATATATAGTGAATCAAACACTAGGTCACTGAGTTACAGCTCTACTAAGTAGGTTTCTGTTGTCATTCTCCTCTTACTGAATAAAATGGGGGCTAGTTGTATTTATTTATTTATTACTGGTGTTTATAAAGCGCCAACAAATTTTGCAGCGCTGTTAACTTTAGTCAATGCCCTCTGCAAGCAATCTTCAAATTAAAATAGCCCCTTCATCAGAGTGAAGTCAAAATGTTAATGGCACAATTAGAGTTGGCTTAAGGCACACCAGTATAAAATAGCTCATTAAATGAAAGCCACTGTCCTGGGGAAGAAGTTGTACAAAACTGCCAAATTTTAGACAACAATAATAGTCTGCTAGCACAAATTATATTTGCAGCAGCAGAGAGGCAGGTATTTGGGTGCCTGTCAAACCAACTGAAAACAATTTGGGCAGTGCCCCTGAAGACACTTTGCACTTTGTTTATGGTTCTCTGCAATGTTCCTTCAAGCTTTCTGAGAAAATGTATCAGTAGAGATTGCCTATTTATACTGTATTTCTGTAAATATACTGACATCTAGTGGTCAGATTTGGAATTAATGCCTATAATTACAACTAGCTTTATTCTTGGTCTTAGCAGGCCAGTTTCAACTATTTTTCTTTTCCTCTTGCTTAAAAAATGCCAAGTAAAAAATATTATATAATAGTTTGCTAGATAATCAGTAATACACTAGAGTAACCTCACAGTCCAAGTAATGGTGTGTGCACTTGGGGGTGGGGGATTGAAATATAGTCATCCAAGAAGAAGTAGGCCTGCCTCCAAAAGCAGATGTAGTTTTCCTTATAAGCCAAAAATAAAGTTTTAAAGAAACATACCAAGAACAACAAAAGTGTAACATATGGCTATATAGATATCCCACTCAGGTGGTCTCAAACAAGTTTATTTTGCTAGCAATTTTGCACAGATCATCTAAACCTTCAGCATATATATTCATCACTGTCAGCATATATATTCAGACATATATCTCTCACATGAGCAGCAGCAACTGATTTTAGGGGTAAGATCAGCTGAGGAGTGGATTGTGATAAATCTGCACAACCTACTGGTAAGAAAAGGCAGACCCTTTAAAATTCCTGCCAAAACATTTGTTTTACACTAAAGAAATCAACATGAACTGTAGTTTTATAAACCAATTAATTACCAAAAATCTGTTAACAATTAAACCTTCGCTAAAATATCCAAACCTATAATCAAAGGATAAATTGTAAAAAAAACAAAAACAAAATCCTATTGAGGTTTTTTATTATAAATATTATAAAATTTTAAAAATAAACTTGGGCATGGGGCTTAACTGCGGAATGCAGCAGATGCTATTTTCCGCATCTCCGACGATGCTCTGTTAAATCAGCGGAATATCTTGAGATACACAGCCCATCCAATGAAACCAACACGAGCATCTATACTCCGGCGGCTCCAGGTGTCGGCACATGCCGTTCTTTGCGAATTCCCGACAGAACAGGCGGCGTAAAAAGCGGTCTACCATCTCCCTACAAGCCTGGAAGAATTACTTGTGCACATCCCTTTTCAATGCGATCTGGACTTGATTACAGACAGCAACCTCGCTGCTGATCAGCCCTCAACCATGGGGAGACGTTCACAGAAATTACCACCACCAGGTACGCCAAGCGAATCCCAATACATAGGGGCTCTATTCCAATGCCAGGACCTGCCAAAAATGGCAACCCTAGAGAACAAGGAGGCCCTTACAGACTCTCAGATCCACACACCTGACTGGTGGCCTCACTACTGCCACCGACACAAGCCAAAAAGTTTGCTTTTGATGGCATGTTCCGCCAGCCAACATCACCTAAGGCTCCAACTAATGCTGTGAGTGACATCATAATACACTGCTCCCTGGCTCGAGACAAAAGGGCACTCCTCTCAGCATTACAAAACCGAACACCATACTCATTTGAAGGAACTGACCTGTCCTTCTATCAAGACCTTTCGAGGTCCACCTTGCAATGGTGCAAAATGCTCCTTCTAACGACGAGCCAACTGAGAAATGCAGGAATCACAACGGCCCTCACGGTAACCCACAACAGGTCTGGCCATAGGATATCCACAGCGGAATAGGCGCCACCCCCCTGCAGTCCACTTGGTCAGGGGTACTAAAAGCTAGAGTCAGTCCAAGCTTAATCTTGCCGCAACATCACTAATAGCCATAAACCAGGCCCATAAACGCTAGGCTGACCAAAATAATGAGACATCTACTGACACTCATACACATATATCCAAGTCTACCTAACCCCCTTTAACAGCTATTATTCTGCTTACAGTCGATTATCAGTAACTATTTTTATTTGTTTAATTTCAGGACTGATAACCCCTGTTTTCGCCCATTATTAACCAGCAAAATTGCAGACCTAACATAAATAGGAACACATGTCGGTATACAGTTGCACGGGCGACATCCCTAGTCAGGAAATTGGTAATCTCGTAATACTTTTTAGAATAGCCTTACAGGGGCCTTAGCATAAGCGGTAATTATGCCTGGTTTCGTATACTACAGTATACTATATTATCGAAATGTATACCTGACAGGCATAACACACGATTACTATTGCTATATCTGTTCAATATTTGGCTTATGTCAGGATTTATTGCCTATCAATTGAATTATAAATTATAAAAACAAAAAAAAGGTGCAAATTTCTCAACGTGACCTGTCTTGTACATGCAAACTACTTTTTTGCATTATCTATCAAGGTCATGTCCTTAAGGACACAACTTCTGGAATAAAAGGGAATCATGATGGAATATTTCCGTCATGTGTCCTTAAGGGGTTAATTGCATATGTTTCTTTACATGCACTACTAAAATAAAGAATTATTAAAAAAAATGTCAAAAAATA